AAATGCATACAAACTAAATTAAATATTTTCTTTCTGTCTTAAAACTAAGTCTTGCCCTCATGGAGCTTAGAGTCCTAATGAAGGGTTAAAGAGACACAAACATGTGAGAGCTGAATCATGACCAAAGATTTTAATAGCAGTTCAAATTAACAATGTAGGAGATGCCATAATTTCTAATATACATAGCCAGGCAAATACACTATCATTAATTGCTGTAGAAATTTAAAGAAGGAAAAGTGACTTCAGGCTGAAGTTAACAGATAGAAAAAGGATGGCTTATGTGGAGAAATGGAAAGAAGATCATGAAGAAAGTGTCTGGGAAGAGCATGGGAAGGGCAAGTTGGAGCTTAGCTGAAGGTAGTTAGAATGTTTGGATGTGGTTATCTAGGGTACCAAGGAACCTTTACTAGGATACTAAAAGGATCAAAACAGTTTGCTAAAATCTTAAGATCATGTACTTCACTGTCAGTTTATTTATAAAATACAGTGCAGCAATCAGCACAATTTTCTGAAATGAGAAATTAATTTAATATTCAAATAACTAAAGAAAGTGGTAAGTTGATTGATGAGTGAAAACAGTGGGTTTTTACCTGAGCGTCACAGTCATCAGTCTGGAGCCAGACTGACTAGGTTTCCTTCCCAGCTCTGCCACTTAATAGCCATGGGAAGTTACATAACTTTTCCCTACTTTAGTTTTCTGATCTCTGAAATGAGGATAATATTATAGCATTTTCCTTATAGGGATGCTGAAAAAATTAAAATGAGTCAATATATATAAAGCATGTATAATAGTCCTTGACACATAAGAAAATTTATATAGATAGTGGCTATTTTATCAATAATCTTATTTAACTATTAGGTACTGGATCCCTATATTAAGTTTCTATATAAATAAGATGATAAAAATAAAAATAAAGTACCGTTCTTCAGATATGAATTCATACAGTGTGAACATGACATATCAATGATAATAACAAATTGCTCTCGCATACCCTATTACTCAATTATGACCCCAGGGTTAGATTTTTAGAGAGTCAAAGTACGGTCTGTGGCCTGAAACTACTGAGCAAGGCTGAAATCTGTTTAGTCAGAGATCAAACCCAGCCCTTGACCCCTTTGGTAATACTTTCCAAGTAAAATCTGGCTGAATGGTGGTGCCATGTGTTATCTAACGAGATTTATTAACTCTTTTTAGGTCCCTTTGAAGACACTGCACAAGGCTGAACTTCCCTGAACACCAAGGAAAAGCTAGCTCACTACACATTATAAATCAATACACTGATGGCCCAATACAGCACTTTGCCCAAAGTGTGCTCTCAGTACTTGTTTACTGAATGGATGAAAAGAGACTTAAGCCATTAAAGCAACAATTAGGTTTCAGTTGTTTCCTAGGCAGCCTCTTTGCCCTTCTAAATATCATATTTCATCTTGTGAAAGCAGCCTCC